CTATAGCCTATAGCACTATAGCACTATAGCCTATAGCACAGTGGTTATAGCACCAGCCACATACACTAAGGCATACACCAAGGGTTCAAATCCAGCTGGGCCAGCTAAACAACAACTGCAACAAAAAATAGCCAGGCACTGTGGCAGGTGCCTGTAGTCCTAGCTACTTGGGAGGCTGAGGCAAGAGAATCGCTTAAGCTCAAGAGCTGGAGGTTGTTGTGAGCTGTGACACCACAGAACTCTACTGAGAGTGACTTTGTCTCAAAAAAAAGAAATAAGGTTCACAAAGATTGGGGTGGGGTAGATTATTCTATGTAGAGGAAACTACAAGTGCCAAAGGCTCCAGGCAGACTTCAGTTTGATGTTCTAATAATCAAAAGGTCAATGTGCCACGGCACTCTACCAAGGGCGACATAATGAGACTCTGTCTCAAAAAAAAAAAAAAGAAAGAAAGAAAAGAAAAGAAAATTCCAAGCCACAGACAGAAGAGCAGGTAGCTGCCCTCTGGCCCAGCAGTTAGAGTCTCAAGGAAGTCACAAGAGGTGACTCCTGGGGACAGGACTGGGGAAAGGCAGACTGACCGAGTTGGAGAGGTGGGCCACAGCCTTGATGTGCAGCAGCTCCTCAAAGATGAGGTCCAGCTCCTCATCTGTGCGCTGTCCGGGGCTGCAGGTGTGGGAGGGACGGACAGGGTGCACACAATGAACTGAGGGTTCAGGCCAGCCAGGGGAGCTGCCCCACCCACCCAGCTCAGGTCTGGGCCAGACAGCAGCACCTCAGTCCATTGTTATCAATAATCCTCTTTACAGGGTGTGCACGTGTGCCAGACAGTGCTGGGCACTTGGCATGCACTGTTTCATTCTGCCCCAACAACAGCCCTGTGACACAGGGGTTATCATTGTCACTTGACAGAAGAGGAACTAGCATAGATGCCCAAGGTCATCCAGCTAGTAGCCAGTGGAGATGGAATTTGAACCTAGATCTTGCCCACAGATTCCAAAGCCCACCCTCCCTAAGCCACAACTGCATCTCAGAGCAGGAAGGGTCTTCAGAGACTCTCTGGCCTAGCAGAGAGGCCTGCTTCATTTACCAAGGAAGAAGCAGGCTCAGCACAGGGTGGGGGGATGGCTCCATCACACAGCGAGTCCGCAGCAGAATGTAGGGCAGGCTGGGCCTTCTAGGCCAGCCAGGTTCCCTTCCCTCAACCACAAGGAAGGGACACCCTTAGAGACGAATCTGGGAAATGGTGGATGGAAGCTGAATGCTGTGTGGGACCTGGAGCTACGGGTGAAGGGCTCCTGACTCACGGCTTTCGAAGTGCCACAGTGAGCAACGCATCAGGTCCCCGCTGGGAGAGCAGGGCCATAGCCTCGACCAACTCCTCCTCCATCTCATGAGCTCCTGTGGGCTCTGGCTCTGGCCCAGGGAACCTATAGAACTGGGCATCTCGGTCCTGGAAGGTCCAGTCATGTTTCACTGGGGGACAGAGACCCAAGAGTGGGAGAGGAAAGGAAATTGAGGCTGTGGGGGCATCAGGCCCCCACTGCAATACCACCTCCCTCCCCACTGGTGCCTGCTCCTGGGACTGCCTGACAGGCGCAGCCCGGTGAACCCCACCCTGGGCTCAGGCTCACCATGGCACAGGGCACCCTCATCCAGCAGCACCTGGCAGATTCCCACGGCTTGGCTCCGGGAGTGGACCCCGAGTCCCAGAGACAAGATCCCATCCACCAGCTCTCGGCCAGAGCAGCATTGCCTGTGGGAAGTGGAAGGGGACCAGGAATAAGAGGGAGAATCCAACAGAAAGGTGTAAGGGAGAGAGGAAGTCTCCATCAGAAAAACACCCTCCTAGGCCTAAGCTAGGCCCAGATGGGGGCAGCAGAGTGGGAATGGAGGGAGCACGTGGGGGTGGGTGAGCCGACAGGTGGGGCCTACACTCACCGGTAGAGCCTAAGATGGTACTTTCGGTCACGGATGAGGTTTGGGCAGGTGGCCAGGAGATGCCGCTGCAGCTGCTTCCCGGCCCTGAGCACCCGCTCTGTGGAGGCCTTGGGGAGAGGAAGGGCCGAGCTGGCTCAGTCTCTGAACCTTCAAGGTGCTGCCTTGTCCAACTCAGCTCCCCCACCCCTACCCACCCCACCCCACCCCCGACCCCCCTGCTCCTACCTGCTCTAGGCTCACGCTGAAGTCCAAAGACTCCTCACTGTTGGTGAGTGGTGTCTGGGGGCAGTGGGGAAAGTTCACACATTAGCCTGAAGCCTTCAGACCCAGCTGGTGACACTTCCCCTCCCCCTTCACTCTGCCCTTGCTAAGGCTCCACCCCAAAGGCACCCATTCAGCCACTCATCCAAAAAATATGCAAACATTCACTGAGCACTCTGTGCCCCCAGCAGCCACCTCTTCCTACCCCTCCAGCCCCATCTCCAGACCTAGCCTAAGAACTTTACCCCTGCAGATAACAGGCCCCTGTTCTGCTTTCTCAGGGCCCAGATATGCCAACGCCCCCGGGTAAACTGCCCCTGCGTGAGGGAAGAGGTGCTGGAACTGGAAAGGGCATGAGGGCATGACATAAGGAGACCTGCAAGAGGCCAGGATGTGAGCAGATAGCCAGGCCTGAGAACACCTGCCCCTGGCCGGCTCTAGTCCCAGGCTGGGTCCAGCTTCTGTGCCCAACCGCAGGACTACAGGCAAGTCTCTTGCCCTCTGTGGGCCTTGGTTCAGCCTGGTACTTAAAAACACAAACCCCAGAGTCAGGCCCCTAGATTCCAATCCCTGCTCCTCCATTTACTAAACAAGTGATTTAACTGCTCCCTGCCTCAGTTTCCTTTTCTATAAAATCATTAAGACACTAATAATACCAACTCATAGATTTTTGGAAGGATTAGATGAGTTAATACACATCAAATGTTTAAAACATTGCCTGGCTTCTAGTTGTTTGTACATGTTAGCCATTAATCATCTGGGAAGCACAGGGTGGGGCTGCTTGCTGGAGGGCGTCTTTCTTCTCCGAGATGCTGCTAGTCCATACCATTCAATAGTGAGTAAGGCCTTGGCAGCACCCAGGGCAGCCCAGGAGGACCAGCTTGATCACAGAAACATGGGTTAACAAGGTTCCCTGCTCTGGGTATCAATTGAGCCATTTGGGACACCCAGGCCTGAAATGCCCTAGGACATCAGCATGAAAGCCCCTCACCACCCTTCTTTTCCTGACACCTGAGGATAGGAACTTGTGGACAGGATGCCCTATAAGCACTCCCAATGGCAGAGTACTTTACAGTTTATAAAGCACATCTACCTCTTTGATTTCAGTGGCTTCTATGTAGAATAGGACTGCACCGGGCAAGGTGGCTTATGCCTGTAATCTCACCACTCTGGGAGGCTGAGGCAGGAGGACTGTTTGAGCCCAAGGGTTTGAGACCAGCCTGGGCAATAGTGAGATCCCCATCTCTATATAAAATAGAAAAACTACCTAGGTGTGGTGGTTTGCTTATAATCCCAGCTACATGGGAGGCTCAGGTGGGAGGCTCAGGTGGGAGGATCACTTGAGCCAGGGAGTTTGAGGTTGCTGTGACTTATCATGGTACAACTGCACTTCACCCTGGCCAACCATGCAAGCCTCTGTCTCCAAAAAGAAAAATCTTAGAAGAAAATACAGACTATCTTTAACACCGAAGTAGGAAAATATTTCCTAAACAAAGTATAAAAATGCAAATCAGGGCTCGGCGCCTGTGGCTCAAGTGGCTAAGGCACCAGCCACATACACCTAAGGTGGCAGGTTCAAATCCAGCCCAGCCCACCAAACAACAATGATGGCTGCAACCGAAAAATAGCCGGGCGTTGTGGCGGGTGCCTGTGGTCCCAGCTACTTGGGAGGCGGAGGCAGGAGACTCGCTTGAGCCCAGGAGTTGGAGGTTGCTCTGAGCTGTGATGCCAGGGCACTCTACCCAGGATACAACTTGAGACTCTGTCTCAAAAAAAAAAAAAAAATGCAAATCAGGGCAATAATTAGCCTGGGACAATCAATTGAGACCAGCAGTTTGACACTAGCCTGAGCAAGAGTGAGATAGCATCTCTACTAAAAATAAAAAAATTAGCCAGCTGCAGTGGCACATGCCTGGAGTTTTAGCTACTTGGGAGGAGGCTGCGGTAGAACGATCACTTAAGCCCAAGAGTTTGAGGCTGCAGTGAGCTTTGTTGATATCACTGCTTTCTAGCCTGGGCAAAGAACAAGACCTTATCTAAACAAATAAATAGTAGACAAGTAAATAAATAAATAAATAAATAAAAAGGACCAGATGTGAAATAGGCAGAGCAGGTATTGTCTGTCCTCTGTGACTTACGAGGAAATGAAGTCTTGAGGTAAAGTGCCTTGTGTAACTCAGTCACCCACACTCAGACAGCCAGACAGCTACAGACAAACTGAAACTCCCACACAGCAGTGCTGACATTCTTGGTCCCACTCTGCCTGCCACACCTGCCCTTTCCTCTTCCTTCCCCTTTGTGTCCCCAGCAACCTCTCTCCTGCCTTCCCATCTGCCTTGGAGTCCCTGAGAAGGACCTCACTGGGGCTCTAGGGTACAACCAGGCCTGGTCCTGGCAGGGCCCTGGGCACAGGCATCTTGCCACAGTGTACCCAGGCAGCGAGGTCTGGCACACACAGGCAGGGGCACCAGGCCCAGGGCCGGGCGGAAATCACTAGGTGTCCCAAGGGTATCCCTGCCCTGGTCATGGGGCCCAGCCCAATGCCAGACACTGAGCCCTGGAGACTTAACGACAGGAAATGAGGAGGAGGAGGAGCTAGGGAAGGGAGGAAGGGCAGGAATGCTACCCAGCCAGCCCCCTGTGTCTGTATCGGAACAAACAGTGCCTGAGTGCTAATGACTTGTTGTTGTTCATGTCAAAATGAACAGGTAGCCCCAGTCCCTGTCCATGACCCAGGCTCCAGCATGGGTCCATTCCTGGTATTATTCTGGCCTGGGAGGGCAGGTTAGTAGGGGAGGTGCCAGGTCATGTGCCCAGGCTGGTCATTTCCTGTCCTCCTCACCAGAGAACAACCACAAGGGCCAGAGTACAGGGGCTCTGGCCCACCAGCACCAAGAAAGGGACCTTAAGGCACCTGTCTCATCTTGCTAAGGGAAGAGGAAGCCCAGAGAGATGAAGTAACTATCCAGAGTCACACAACTACTTAGAAATGTCAGGTTCTCCTGCTACCAGCATTGGCCCTGGAAGTAGGGATTTGAATCCCATTCCACAGATAGAGAAAAGCAAGCTCAGAGGTTACATAACCTGCCTCAACAGTTGGTAAACAGGGTGCTGGGACTCGCACCAGGCCTGTCTGACCCCCCAGCCATGCCCACCTCAGTATTACGCCCTGCCACCCTTATGTGCCCTAGACACAGACACAGAGGCAGTAGAGGCATTCTGCCCTCAGAAAGTTCCACAGGTAAGTAAGTTTGGAAACTGTCAGATTAGACAAAGTTAGATAGGCTTGTCAACATAGCTCCTCTGTGCCCCGAGGATGTTCGTGTGCATGGGAACCTTCCAAGATGGGGCAAGGGAGGTCTACCACTCAGGGGAGAGGTGTATGGCCTCTGGAGCCAGATACTTGGGTTCAAATCCTGACTTTTGAATCACTACCTGGTTGTGTGACCTTGCGCCAATTACTGAAGCTCTCTTCAGATTCCTGGTCTGTAAAGTAGGGTTGATGATAGTAACATACCTATCCCACGGGATCCAATGAGCTAATAACATAAAGCTTGTGGAGTGGTGCCTGCTCATAGCAACTGCTTAGTAAATGTTAAATGACTTGATCCAACTTTATTTCATGACAGGTCCTATTACCCAGACACAGTGAAATACTGTGACCCACAGCTGACCTTATCCCTGGCCTGATGACTCTGAGTGTTAGTATAGGAATCCCCAGCTGTATAGGAAGATGCAGCTGGTTCAGATCAAGGTGAAGGTCCTTGCCCACCTCCTTCTTTCATTCCTAAGCAGGAAGAAGGACTCTAGTGGAAGAGGAGGTGCTGGCTCCCCTGGCACCAGCACTGTAACCTACCCTATCCTCCTTCCATGTTGCCAAGTGTCAGAGCCAGACTAGAGGGGCAGGCATAGAGCCAGACAGCATGGGGACCCGTTAGACCAGTTTCCTTGGGCCATGGCTAAGGTCCTAGGCCAGGACTGTGCATGGTGGGACAGGGCAAGGGTGTATATGGTGGAGTGATGCCTTGGGTGTCAGCGTTACTATCCATAGCAAGAGGGAAAGAAATGTAACAGTGGTTATGAGCTTGGACTCTGTAGCCTGATTGCCGGGCACTACAGCCCAGCTTTCCCATTTAGCAGTTATATAACCCTGGGCCTGTACCTTAACCTCTCTGTGCCTCCATTTTCACATCTATAAAATGTGCTAACATAATATACCTACCTCATGGGTCTGTTATAAGGATTATTTGATATGATAAAGACAAAGCTCTTATAATAGTTCCTGGGACATAGGTACCATACAATTATTAACCACTATATACCCTCCATTATTTGAACAGGTTGAGTGAAAGCCCGTTTTCTAATTAGAGAATAGGGCCACCTCCCCCCAAAATAATCACTCAAAGAAAAGCATCTTGAACTTCCCTCAGCTAGTGGGACCCGCCAGAGGTCACACTGATCTTGTCCCCTCCCCTGACATCAGACATGATCTCACACCCCCTCATATTTTCCAAAAATGTTCTTCCATCCCATTCCCAGTGTTACCTTTGTCATGGTTGGTCCCTTGTGATCTAAGCCATCTTGCTATAACCTGCTTTAATTTTCTCTTGTCCTGGTCTAGGCAGTAACCGAGCTCTCTTTAGACTTCTTCTCAGGGAGGTTGACAGATTTACCCCTTGGCCTAAGAGGGAGGTCTGGCCTGAAAACTTCCAGTGTCTGTAACTCCTTCAATCTATGTGTCATCAAGAGATAAGACAGCACTCCGGGAGGCCGAGGTGGGGTAGATTGCTTAAGCTTAGGAGTTCGAGACCAGCCTGAACAAGAGTGAAACCCTGTCTCTACTAAAAATAGAAAAACTAGCTGGGCATGGTGGCAAACACCTATAGTCCCAGCTACTCAGGAGGCTGAGGCAGGAGGATCACTTCAACCCCAAAGTTGGAGATTGCTATGAGCTAGGATGACTAGGCTGATGCCACCTGGGGCAAAAGAGTGAGATTCTGTCTCAAAAAAAAAAAAAAAAAAAAAGGCTCAGTGCCTATAGCTAGGGCACCAGCCACATATACCAGAGTTGGAGGGTTCAAACCCAGCCCAGGCCTGCCAAACGACAATGACAACTACAAACAAAAATAGCAGGGTGTTCTGGGGGGTGCCTGTAGTTCCAGCTACATGGGAGGCTGAGGCAAGAGTATCCTTTAAGCCCAAGAGCTTGAGGTTGCTGTGAGCTGTGACACCACAGTACTCTACCAAGGGCAACATAGTGACACTGTTTCAAAAAAAAAAAAGACAAGACACACAGCTTCAGACGTATCCAGAGCCTCTTGAACTCAGACTCAGTGGAATGAAACCACCTCACCCAATCCCAAGAGACAGTCATCAGGAGAGGGTGCGGCCGCCTGCCTCCAGCCCTAAAAATTTAAGTTCTCTGTAGTCACTGACCCCCATTTGGCAAGGGAAGAGTCTTATTTCTGTGCCTTTGGCCCTACTTACAGTCAAGCAACCCTTACCCCCACCCTTCCAGCCTCCCTGCCACCAGCCTTTCATTTCTGGGGCATTGGGGGAATCAGGAGACATCCTGGTGGCCTCTTCTACCCTTCCCAGACTGAAGGTCTGAAGGGACAACCCCCCCCCCCCCCCGCAGCGACCTCACTGTCTTAAAACCTGACCTTCCCACCACCCCTACCTTGCTTCTACAAGCTGGGAAGGGGACAGGAAATGCACAAGTAATTATAGCCTGAGAGGGAAGGAGGGAGGGAGGTTTCCAGCCCACTGACTCTAAGCAATAGCTACTGCCAGTGACCCAGAGAGCCGGAGGTTTGGGGGCAGAACCCAGGGGCTGAAGGAGAGAGGGCTAGGGGATAGCTGGGGAGTGACACCTGGATTCTCTCGTCAATTCCGATTGTAGACAGGATTCCCCTCATGGTGACAGGCCTCAGTTTTCTCAACTCAGCCTCATACTTTGGTAATATAAATGGCAGCTGGGCATGACAGGGGAAAGAAGAGAGAAGGTGGTGGTTGTTCTACTCAAAGGGACTCACCATACAAGATGAGCTCTCACAAGTCTGTCGCCCATTCCTGTTTTTCCTCCACTCCTTTACCCAAATGCCCTCCTGGCACTGCCCCCTGGCTCCCCACACACATATGCACAGTAGGAACGCATAACAGACACAACTGAGTCTCAGGTGAAGTTACTCCGTTAAGTCTGGGTGGTTGGGGAGAGCTTCTCTGCTGATTTAGACCCTACAGCCATTATCCCACCCCCCCACACACACACACCAGCATTCTTCCCCCCCCCCTCCTTTCTCCTTCATTCTTTTAGCTCCAGAGATGTTTTTCACTGGCAAAGGAAGCTTCACCTGTTCGGATTCTCCACACTTCTTAGAATCCCCCGTGCCCTCCACAAAGCCAGATGCTAAGCAGTGTCCATATAATCACCTCTTCTCAGGACCAAAAAGCACTTAGCACTCACTAAAAGAGAAAGTTGCCACAGCAACATACCAAAAACAGTAACCAAGCCTACCTCATCTCGTGCTTGACCTGGCCCCTACACCTCCCACCCCCACCTGGAGAGAACACATGAGCACCTAATTCAATTCAATGCCTGGCACACAGAGGTGACAGATAAATGACAAATTCCTTTCCTCTTCCCCCTGTGGCCAGATGGGGACACTTGGGCACAAGGCATGCAGACATACACGTCGCAGCTGTGTGAGCCACCCACGCACACTGCAGCCAAGCCTCATCTGACCCACCATCCACCCTAGCTGTGCCACCCTGCAACCCCAGCCACCAGAGTAAGCTGGGCCACCAGAACCACAATCCAGGCCCCCCTCCAACCCTGGCACCTGTCCCTGGCCTGGGCAGATGAAGGGTACTCACCCAGCGAAGCCCCTGGATGCGGCTTGGGCGCCGGTGCTCCAGCAGCAGCTGGTAGGAGCAGCTTCGGGGCCGGTGCATCCTCCTCAACACCATGTCGAGCAGTGTCCCCTCCGGCACTACATCAGGGAGGCCTCCCACCTGTGATGCTCCCAGGCCTGGGCTATCCTCCACAGCTAGCCCCACCTGCCAGCAGCTCTCACCTGGCCAGCCCACCTGCGGTGTGGGGAAGAAGGTGGACAGCCATGGGACAGGGGCTGGGGCAGCTGGACCACAGCACGACTGCCCCAGGCAGAACCACTTCCTTAGAGTCCTCTGGACTGGTCAGGCGGAGGTGCTGCAACCCTGCCAGAAGCTGGGGGGGAGGAACAGGAAGACCTTCACTGGGGCCTGCCGGTCTGGCGCACTTAGGGGTCTCCAGCAGGCACATGCATAAGATCAGGCCCTTCTCAGTCCTCTTCGGAATTCTGCCCCACCCCACTGTCTAGGCCCCTGCAGGAATCGCCACCACCTCCCAGAATGAGGCTACAGACTCGCTGGATCCCCCAGAAATGCAGCTTTAGCTCAAAGCCGCCTTCTCCCCTCCTCCCTTACCCCTGACCAACCTTTTCTCGCCCACCCAAACTCCCCACCGTGTCAGCTTCCTCTCCCGCCCTCTGCTGCTCCTCCTCAACCCTGACCCCACCTTACCCACCTTCATGTTCTTTCTCAAGCTTGCACAGCTGTGCAGGCTCTAGCAAAAGGCACGGGGGACCCCAGGGAGCCCCGGTCAGCTCTGCTAAGGGGTGCGAGAGAGGTGCTGCCGGTCAGTTCGTGTGCAGTGAACCGGGCCAACTCCTAGCTGGGCCGGGCGGGGGCAGCAAGATGCAGGATTAGAGGAGAGGCTCCTTTTGGGGGAATAGTGGGCTGGGGGGGGTGGGGGAGACCCCCCCAGCGACAGGGAGCCCCGATCCTCCGCCTTCCTCCCAAACGAAAGAGCCAGCTGGCACAGGGCGCTGAAGTGAGGCTGCTGCTGGCACTGGTCCGGGCAGGAGCTGTCACACCCCCTGCGCTGCCCGCCCCCTTCCCCTCCCGGGACGGCTGAAGGGGCGGGGAGAAGGCGCCCAGCTTCACGGTAGGGGAGGTCGCAGGGGAAGGGGGCGGGCACGGGCTGGGGGTGGAGTCCCGACCTCGGGGCACTTTGATCCCGCACCCGCGGGAGCCCAGAGAAGCCCTAGGGGTCAAGGGTTGCCCCGAGGTGTGCACCAGGGCCGCTGCGGCCGGGGTGTCTGGGCTCCGGCGCTGAGTGGCGGTCTCGGCCGCCACGTGGACGGGAGAAGAAATGCAAACAAGGAAACCGGGGAAAGGGGGAAGGGGGGGTGAGTCATTGCGGCCCCGCCCGGGAGGGAAATCCGGGCTGCGGCCGCTTCCCGGCCGGGGGCGCCTGCCTCCTGTTTCGCTCCAGGGTCTCCAACAGCCCGGGGCGGGGGAGTGATGGGACGGCTTTCCCGTGGGGAATCCCGCTGCGGAGCCTCCCACTGTTGCGTTACCGGATACTTGCCCCCTCCCCAGTCCCAGCACAAAGGCCAGGCGTGAGTGAGGAAACTGAGGCTGCAGAGGAGGGAGAGGGCTCCGGAATGCACCGGGAGTCGCGGCGGAGCTTCCAAGAGGGAAGCGGGTTCTAGAGGGCCACGCCCCCCGCGCGCTCCGGGGCCACCGGGCAGGCGGAGGCAGAGTCCTACGCTGCGGGTTCAGCCCTGACCTCGGCACACTGTGGGCCTCAGTCTCCACCACCGCTCAGGTGGACCAGAGCTGCCCTCTCCGCCCCACTCCTGCTTCCCAGAGGGCGGGGAGACAGTGGCCCGGGGACAGCGACTCCCGTGGCGTCCCATGATTGCTCAGGACTGCAATGAGGGTTTGGAGTGAGACCCATGCCCCGCCCCCCAGCTTTCTAGGACTAACTCCCATTTTGCCCTGTCTCTTCCCTTTTCCCTTTGTTAATGAGCATGCCCGGACTTGGGGAGAAACGTCTCTAACAAGCCTTTACTCCCTCTTTTGGGGCACCGAGTCCCCATCAGGGAGAGAGTAATTTTATTTGTTAAAATCTCAGAGGTTTTTTTGTTCTCGTATCTAGGGGGGTGGGAGGGACAGGTTGTTTTTGTTTGGTTGGTTTTTGCTCAGGCTGGTCTTGAACACCTGAGTTCAAACAATCCTCCCGCCTTGGCTTCCCAGAGTGCTGGGATTACAGGCGTGAGCCAGCGTGACTGGCCTGAAAAATCTCAGTTTTAATGTGTATATATATATAAAGAAAATTTCTGCATTTTATTAACGCTGGTTTCATCCCCCCAAATTCAGATTCAGTCCTGTTGGCATGAGATGGAAAATCTGTGTTTTGAACAAACATCTTAGGCCATCTGCTGTGTCTACACTTAAAGAAACACTGGTGGAGTTTTAAACACCTCTCCATGGCAGAAGGAGAGCCTGAGAATGAATGTGACCCAAACCCATCCACTCAAGTTCTGGTCGTTTGGAAGAAGGAAGAACAGCCTGGATACTGGCAGGAAAGGATGACAAGCTGGGAGTTACAGACGTGCACAGGACAAAGAGTTGGGGAGGAGGGGGTGTTTAGGTGAGTTTTAGGTTGCTGGGGCCAGTGGCTTGACCTAGAAGTTCTTGAAGGAGAGTTTCCTGAGACTGGCAGTGGGGATCAACAAGGGGTCCCCTTTTTCTTAGTCCCCCTTCCCCTACTTTCAGCAGGTGGAAAAGATGCTGAGAGGCAAGAACACAGAAGCTTGTCATGGGCTGGTACCGTTCAAGTGTTTTCCATGTATTTAACCCCCGCCACAATGCTGTGAGGTAGGTCCTACTGTTATTCCTGCTCAGAGGTACTTAGTAACTTGCTGAGGTCACCCAGCTAGGAAGTGGTGGAGCTGGGGCTTGAGTCCAGGTTATGCCCCATGCTGTACTGTGTGTGTTCTTTATGCATCTGTCATTCTAACACACACTGTACTGCCTAGGAGAGGATACCAGGGGTAGGGGGGGGTCTCTGCAGGGTAGGATCCAAAGCAAGTCATTCAAATGGGTAAAAAGGAAAATCCCAAACCCACTTTCCCCCATTTGTGTCCCCCCTCGACACTACTCGTGCCTTTCTTTTTTCATGTCTCCTTCTTGTTCCCCCTCTCTGCAGAGACTGAGAAGATGGCCTGTGATGATGCCTGCTCACTAGTAGCTCAAGGAGATCACAGGGTACCCCTGTCCTGTTTCTGTTGCTAGCAGGCAAGGCCCCCAGCCTCCTGCTAAGGCAGGTGATGAGAAAGGTTTTCCTTCTCAGGATTCCTGGATGGGGACTGGCCATTGGCATTTGTGCTCAGTAGATAATTGATGGAGACTGAGGCCTGGAGGGGGCAAAGGACTGGGAATGTGTCTGAGGAAGACATTCAGGCCGGATGGTTAGTCATCTTGGGGACACTCATGCCATGTCCTGGTGTAGCCTCCACCCTCCTATGACTGTCACTAGATGCCTCGCAGGTGCGTTGGGACAGACAAATAATAATAACAATAGTTCACATGCACCAGGCCCTGTTCTTGATTTTTATAAACACTGATTTAATTGTCACAACTACCTTAAGAGACAGAGTTGTTATTATAGTTATGCCATTTGACAGATGAAGAAACCGGGATACCAAGACGTTAAATGTCCGAGGTCCTGTGACTAGGAAGTGGTGGAGCAGTGATTCCACCCAGGTGAATTCAATTCTGTGTGTTTTAGCACTCTGCAGTCCTGCCTCTTGAACCCTCTGACAGCTCCTACAAAGGGGGAAAAGCCCACACTCAAGGTCATTTCCTCACACCTGGGTACACTGGCCCTGGGGGGGGGGGAGGGTGGCGGGTAGGGGTGGAATGGGTAGACAAGGGAAGCTGAGCAGCGGGCCCCCTTGACATAGTCTGCCCAGATAGTGAGCTCCTGCCAGCCACCCTTTCCCCATTCACTTCAGGCAGGTGGCAGAGGCTCCCATAGAATAGTCAAGGAGAGGGGCATAAGAGAGGAGGGCTTCTTGAATTAGGCTTTGACTCTGGGCTATATGTCTCCCACCTTGGCCTCTTTGATGAGCTCTACACATGGTGAGCCTATAGCTTTCTGGATCTCCACAGGATCCTCATATTCTGTGTGTCAAACCCCCCCTCCTTCTGCCTTGCCTCGAAGCTCCCTGCCTAAGCAAGGAACCTGATAGCCCAGATCCCTCCTTTTCCCATATCCAGTCAAACACTGCCTCTGGTATAGTCAAACAACAAACCATCTTTTGTATCTGACCTGTTTGCACCATTCTCTCTGCAACTGCTCTAGCCCCAGGGGGGTCTCTTCCAGCACTTACTATGTGCAGGATTCTATATTACTTGCTTTATAGATATCTTTTATCCTAAGAACAATTCCTATTGCCAGTCAGGAAACTGAGGCACAGAGAGATGAAGTAAACTTGCCCAAGGTCATAAGGCTAGTAAGTGCCAGATCCAGGCAGTTCAATTGCAGAGTCCGTGTTCTTAACTACTTTTTATACCACTACCCCTGCCCTGATTGCTACTCTCAGCCTTGCCTTGCACAGTCCGTCTGTGCAACGCCACATGAATCTTTAAAAAATCTTTAATTCATTCAACAATGTTTGCTGTAGGTGCCAAGAACTCTGCTGTAAACTGGAGAATTATCTTTGATCTCCCTAACACACTAATCTGATTGGCTCTCCCCACCCAGCGAGAGAGTGTCTGGCATAAAGTAGGTGCTGCTTATTGGTTATGGGTGGAAATGAAATGAGCAGGAACCATGGGAAGGCAGCTGGTGCCTGCTATGGGCCTATACTTGGACAGCTCAACTAGAAGTTGAGCTAGTTTGCCAGTTCATTTTTAAGGCCTTCCATTTCATCGCCCTCCCTCCTCGACACTTCCTTGTCATTCTTGTCCTACTCTGCAAAGACTCAACCATCCTTTGAGGGTGATCATTGGGATGGAGAATGAAAGGGGAGAGGGAGTTTTCACTAATAGGCCTCCTGTAGGACTGTAGAAAAGGGCCAGTTTGGAGACCAACTCTGAAATAAAGCAATGGATGTAAAGGCTGTGCTGGGACTTTGGTCTGCAGCCAAGTCTCTGCCAGCACTCTAGAGTTGACATTGGCCATGGGAGGTCAACAGTGGAGAAAGATTGAGAGCCCAGGTATCCTCACCTGTTTTCTCTTCTCCTGTATGGTTTAAGGCCCTCTAACTCCTGCCCAAGCTCCTTCCTGCAAGGATAGTTCCAGTTCAGTTCCCCCATCTCCTCCCCTGCCCATTCCTGGGGTGGGAGGCGGAGGCAGGGAGATGGAACATGAGATGGGCACTGACCCAAACCTTCCTAGGACTAACAGGTCACAGCCGGTCACTCATGAGCCCCTGTGACAGTGATGGAGGAAAGGAAGGAGGGGCCTTCTCTAGGTGAGAGGTGGGTAAGCCGGGACTCACAGTCATGGCTGGGCCCAGCAGGGTGCTTGCAGAGGAGAAAGCAAGGACCCCACACTCCCTGTAGGTATATTCTTCTGACTGGTGCTCCACCCACCTGTGCATGAGAGGGGCAGGGCCCTGAATAGACCTGCAGTGGCGCTGATGGTGGTCACCGGAGCTTCAGGGGAGAGTGGGAGAAGCCAAGAAAACCAGGGAGGAGAAGGGCAGGTCTGGAGGTGCCCTTGAAGGGAGCCAGCCTGCCTCCCAGGCAAGTTTGGTGTTCTGTGAACCTGCAGAAATGAGTAACTGCTCTCTCTCCCGGCTTCTGCCTTGCAAGGAGAGTGTGTATGTGTGTCTCCTGTGTGTCCCAACAGTGATCTGACCTCAAGTGATTAGTGTGCTGAAATGGCTGCTCCATTCCAGGTGTGGCCATTTCCCCTCAGATTCACTTCCCCCTTCACTCCTGCACCCCTGTCCTGGGGCTGACCACCCCTATATGCTACCTACCTGCCATTGCTCCCCACTTTCCTTTTTCTAACATTCCCCAAACCTTGTCTTAGCATTCCCATCCTCTAACTCATCCTGGGCCCCTGGCCTCCCTTCAGGACTCAATCCCTATACTTTGCTCTCTGGTTTCAGAGAGTTGGCAAAGGAGGCTGCAGAAGCCTGAAGGAGGGCTCCTCGGAGGGCCCTGGGCCCTGCTCATGAGACATCCGGTTCTGTCCCCCAGTCACTCAGGCTGGATGCAGAGCACTGGCTGGGAGGGCTGCACAGGGTGAGGGAGGACATGGGTAACCAGATAAGCAGGCCAGGGAAAGGGCTCCCTTCAGCATCCGAGCAGGCCCCAATTCTGCCCCCAAGTTGCACTGGGAAGTGCTGGGGTCAGAGAGAAATCGAAATAATCCAGAGACTTTCTGGTACCAGACCCACTGCCCATTTGCTCCCTCAGTAGAGGACTTGGTGAAAGACCAGGAGAGGGTGGGAAGGTAGGGATCTAGAGAACAAAGCAGGAAAGAGAGAGGTCTCCAATTCTACCTGAGAGACAGACACAGGCTACCAGGTTGGCCTTTGCCTCTGAAATGGAGAGGCATCCAGGGACACAGGAAGTCCTTCCTGCCTTTCAGCCCCAGCCCCCCACTGGTCAGTGAGCTGCATGCAGCAGGGCTGGCCAGAATCCTCGTTTAATCTTCCCCAACTGCTTCAGCTCTGCCCAGGCCTCAGCTGAGAGTACCAGGAGCTGGTGGAGTGGCCACTGCTCACCTGGTCTGCCCCAGCCTGGGCCCCATTTCCTTACCACATGCCTGGCACTCACTAGTCTGGAGTAAAGAATTGCATAACTATTTCAAGATTCCTCCTCCCAGCGATTGTAGACTGTCAGAGCAGGAAGCAGCTCTGCTTTGCTCAAGGCTACACACCTTGCATGGCCAATGCCTTGTACATAGAAGGCCCCCAGGAGAGATTTTCTGAATTAAATAGTAAATAAGTTTCCCTGCTCTCCTGCTGTGGATCCTCGGCTCTCTTATAGCTCCCTCAGATCTTCCTTTCCTCCTGGGGCCTGTCCATCCAGTTCTTGCCCAAATGCCCTTCCTCCCACTGCCTCAGTGCATCATCCATCCCATGCCTTCTCCCTCCAGGAGGTACGATCAGGTGTGGTTCCTGGAGCCTCCCTAGGGTGCCACACTTGGGTCTCATGCTCTGGACTAAGCACAAGCAACAGCCTTACTTCCAGTCCTTTACTTCTCCAGTGCCCATCCAGCTGGACTAGAGGAAAACCCACATGCCTTAATGAAGCATCCATGGAGACTGTCATTCAACAAACCTGATCCCCAAATCCAAATCTAAAGGACAAATATGGATTAACTCCAGTGCCAGGATTTGCTCTTGGGGAAGAGTTAATGCCCTCTGCTCCTGCCCTTACGCCTTACTAGTCTCTCCCTCCTCACAGGTACAAACCCTGACTTTGTTCATCCCCTTGCAGCTTCCAAAAGTCACCCAAGTGACCCCCAGGCTCAAGCCCCTTTTGAGATGAACTGTAGGCTTTACCTCCCCATCCAACAGCTTCCTCAGGGAATGAGAAAAGAATGGTGCAGGTACCTGTGGGGAGGGTTTAGGTCAGAGGTAGGCATCACCAGAGGACACCAGGAGGGAGGAGCAAGCCCATGCCCCTGCTCCTACAGTGCTGCTCTCCCAAGGCTGCTGCAGCTGTGACATCCCCACCACCACCACCACTTCTGTGTATCTGATGCTCTTTTAGCTCATGACCTCAAAGACCTGCTACTTCCGCCCAGCATCTTCTCACTCACCATCCTACCCTCTGCAAGGACCAGAGGAAGTGGGGTCTCAGCGAGAAGCTGGACTCTGAGCAGTTTCATTCTAGCCCTGAGAAGTGAGGAGAGCCCCTTGCAGGAGCAGAAGGCAGGGGAATAGCTTTCTGGCACCAAGGTACCCCTGAATCTGTGTCCTTCCTATAACCTCTAAAGCTAGAATGCACCATGATGGGACCAGCTCCTCTCTGCAACTGGCCTGTAGGACGGCCCTTTCTACTCTGTGGTTTAGATGCCTGACCTTAGGAGGAAGATGGAACTGCAGGAGGGGGCCCTGGGTGGGTTTAGGATATGAGAAGAATCCATCCCTGTGTCAAGTCTTAAGCTGCCATAGCCAGAGTCCTCAGCCTTGAACTCCACAAGGCGGGGGGGGGGGCCCGGGGGGGGCATGAGGACTAGATAAGGTTTGGGGAGAATCTTGGCGAATTTACCACCTAAATTCATCATACAAGATAATAGCCCAGCTTGAAAAGTCTGAAGGCACAAGGCTGGGGAAGGCTGCCCCCTAGAGCCAGAATTAAAAACTGTTGGCTTTCAACCTTTCTTTATTGCGAGTATTTATTGAGCTCCTACCCCAGGACCTGGGCATTATGCTAGGTCTTAAGAATACAGGAGTCTATCACTCCTGTTAGAGTGACTAACCATCATGGTTCACCCTAGAGTGAGGGGTTTCTCGGGACATGGAGCTTTTAGTGGTAAATGGTAGAGTCTGGGTGGGTGCAGTGGTTCATACCTGTGACCCTAGAACTCTGGAAGGCCGAGGTGGGTGAATTGCCTGAGCTCAGGAGTTTGAGACCAGCCTGAGCAACAGCAAAACCCATCTCTAGGCTCGG